ACAGCGATGAAACATCGATCGGCTGCCTCCTGCACGCCCCCCACTGGGGATGGAGCCTGCAACCCGGGCACCCTGACCAGGAATCGAACTGTGACCTCCTGGTTCATAGGTCGATGCTCAACCACGGAGCCACGCCGGCCGGGCAATTTTTATATTTTAAAAAATTTATCTTTACTGTTGAATGTGTTACAGACGTCCCCCCTTTTAACCATCACTGCCCCCTCCGGCCCGCCCCTGGCCCTCCCCACACTATTGTCTGTGCCCATGGGGTCATCGCTTCCCCTCCGACCCCTCACCCCCACAGCCTTTTTAAACGGAAGGTCACATGGCAACTGCACTGTCTGCTCGTCAGCCGACAGATGCGTGTGCTGTGTCCTCCCTCCGGGGTCTGGGGCAACGAGACTCTCCCTGCGCCACTGTCACCGCAGCAAACACGCGGCTGTGCCCACTGGCTTCTTCCTCCCGGTTTTGGTCTTATCGTTCTTGAAATCATACGTATTTCCTATGTGCGTCTGTATGTACCTTTCACCATCGATAAAAGAGAAGAATGAGGTACAGAACAGCGGGCTGGGGGCGGGGGGGGGGAGTGCCATGCAGGGTTTTACAGGGACACACTCTCTGGGGAATTCGGTCAGTGCCGCTAAGGGGAGGCCCGTGTGGCCCCTGCTGGAGACACAGCTCCCTTGTGGTGACCCTGACAGAGAGTCAACTGTGAATTGGCGGAGCCTTGAGATCGGGGTTTCTCAGTCTCTCTGTACCTGGCATTATGGGACTGGGGACCCCCCCAGCCCCCCGTCTCTCTCCAGGCTGGAGGGCCCGGTTCAGACCCCATGGAGCGGGCGTACCTGGCTCTTTTTCTCCTTCTGTTCCAAGATTCTCTGCAGCGCTTTCCGCTCCTTCTTGGTCAGAGGCCTCTTCGCCTTCGGCAGCGGAGGGGCCTTCGTCTTCCTCTTCCTCTTCCCCGGCAGGACCAGGGCGTTGCTGGCATCGACGCCTTTCAACGTGTCCCGATCTGAGAAGACATGTTTGTGTGACCCACGGCCCCAGGGCCAGGGAGTTCAGATGCTGGCAGTACCCAGGGTTCCCCATTAACGCTGGTTTCCTCTGGGACCTCTCCCCCCCATGAACGCTCACACAGGACCGGGGGTGCGGGCCCAGCCGGTCCTGCATTCACTCAACTCATCCACCCAGCACGTGCCACGGGTCGGGCTCTGCTATGTGCCAGGGTGCCTCCATCCCAGTGTGGGGGTCGGGAGAGAGGAAACAGGATGAGTAACAGTGTGTCCCTCGCAACTGGGGCCTGCTCTCAGCGGGTCTGTGAGATCAAAGCTATTCTCATCATAATACTATGAGGTACCAAGTTGGTGCCATATCTACTTATTTATTTTTAAAAAGTATGTTTTTAATTGATTTCCGAGAGGAAAGAGGGGGAGAGAGAAACATCAATGACGATAGAGAATCATGGACCGGCTGCCTCCTGCACGACCTGCACTGGGGACCAAGCCCTCATCCAGGGCCTGTGCCCCAACTGGGAACCGAACTATGACCTCCTGGTTCATAGGTCAATGCTCAATCACGCCAGCCAGGGCCCTGCCCCCATTCTTTTTTTTTTAGAATGTTGGGTAGTGCGGTCAGCCCTGTGATATTCTCCAATAAGGGCTGCTCTCTCCAACCCTTTTTTTTTTTTTAGGAGGATTGTATCAGCGGAGTCTTACTTCATCAGACTCAGCCTTCTTAGTCCTCCAGACTGCCCCCATTTTTAAGCTTCATCTCCACGCAGCCATACTGGCCACCTTCAGGTCTTGACTCAATGCTCTCTCTCTCTCAACAAGCCTCCCCCATCCACTCTATGCAACGTCACAGCTCACCATCACCTCTCTGCATCATCTCCTCAGTACTTACGTCCACACCACATTCTGTATGTTTTACCTGTTTGTCTTTGCCAACCAGGAGCCGCTAACCTCACTAAGACAGGGATTTTTTATTTTTCTTAAGCCTCCTTTTTTTTTTTTTTTTTTTTGCCTCCTCTCCAGCATCTAGGAGTTCCTGGCACTTAGCAGGCGCTCCTACCAAATGGAGCGCCAGGCAGCCTGGAGCTGAGCAGGCAGGTCTGGGCTCAAAATACAAATCGAGGGCAAGGAGCTTGTAGAAACGAAGCCATCAGGACAAACGGACTTACTTTCTTGCCCAAATTCCCCTCCGCTGTTACATTAGGGGAGAGAAATCCCAGGTATTGTCCCAAACCCAGTTAAACAAGACTGTCACCCGGCCGGCGTGGCTCAATGGTTAGCGTGGACCAATGAACCAGGTCACCAGTTCGATTCCGGGCAGGGCACAGGCCCGGGTTGTGGGCTCGATCCCCAGCAGGGGGCGTGCAGGAGGCAGCCGGTGCGTGATTCTCATCATTGATGTTTCTCCCTCTCCCTCTCCCTTCCTCTCTCTGAAGTCAATACAAACACAGAAAAAACGTAGACTGTCACTGCGCCCCCTTCTCTGGATCATCTTAGAGGGGAGCTCTCTGGTCCCCCCACCCCCGGATGGCGGGGGCTGGGCGTCGTCGGGAGCCCTTCGGCTCCCATTGGCTTGCCCTGACCCCCAGGCCCGGGCCGGCCCCTCTCCCCAAACCCAGCCCCCGGACGCCTCACCCTCCAGTTCCAGCAGCACGGGCGGCGGCTCCGGGGGGCCCTTCGAGGGGCCGGGGGCCGCCTGCTGGCGCCCCTTGACGTTGTACCGCCGGTGCAGCTTCCCCATGGCGCCCCGATCCCGCTCAGCCCCGGCGCGGACAGCGGCAGCGCACCCCCAAGCCCAGCCCACGTGGGTTCCTGCACTACCGCTCCGGACGCAAAACTTCCGGACTGCGTTCTCGCGAGAACTGGAACTAACGGAACCTCCGAGGGGCGGGGCTGGAGGCGGGGCTGGGAGGGAAGGCGGGGCCTGGCTGGAGCCTGGGCGGGGCCAATTTCGAGGCGGTGCAGTTTAAACGCAGGCTGTTTTCGCTGGGTGTCCGCTGCGTCTCTTAGTCGGCATTTTCCTGTCAATATTCATTTGGCTTCTTGGGAATGTTTTGTCACCTTTCAGAACACAACCCTGCCCTCAGTACAAACGGATTCTCCCCTTTTTTTGTTGTTGCTCATTTGCATTTTCTGATATTCTTGTAGCAAACACACATTGGTTGTGTAGTAAAAAGGCACTATTTCCTTGACAGGAACAGAAGGAGTCAAAGGAGAAGGCATCTATTCGCTGTAAACTCTTTCATGACACACCACACCGTCTGCAGCGCACTCGGAAATAATAGTTTTCCTGAATCCTGTAATTATCTTGCAAACAGAACGGTAATACCGTGTCGCTTTTTTTTTTCTTTTCTGTTAAAAGCGTTAACCCATTAAAGGCAAACATTTAAATTATATCCTTACAAAAAACAAAAAAAAGGTGAAGACACCAGGAGTTATTTTAGACATTTAGAAAACAAAGTCATTTTTTAAAAAATATCTTTTAAATATATTTTTATTGAAGAAGAGAGATAGAAACATCACTGATGAGAGAGGATTATTGATTGGCTGCCTCCTGCATGCCCCCTACTGGGGATTGAGTCTGCCCCTGACCTGAGGTTATCTTCGGGAGAGTTAAAGAACGTTCTGTAAAGCAAGAAGGGATGAATCTCATAAACGTAATGCTAAACGAAGGAGGCCAATCAGGCGCGAGCCTCTATGCTGGGGTCCCATTCACATCAAGTTTAAAAACAGGCCACATGCACCCCTACATTTTGGAGGAGGTCCCAGCGAATGGCAAGGGCCGAAGGAGGCCTCCCGGGAAGCTGCGATGTCCCACTTCTCCAGTGCGCGCTGGTCGCCCGTGCGCCGCGTAGATCCACGGGGAGACACCGTATGATCCGCGTGTTTCCCTGTTTGTATGCTCAACTTCAACTAAAACGTGTACTTTTAAAAAAAAGGTCAAGTATACGGCCAATAAATATATGAAAACCTCGCTAGGGATCCAGAAAAATGTAAGCTGGGGAAGAAGATGCGATTTTTTACTCTGGTTTGGCAACAATTATGGTTTCTTTTTCCAGGGTGTCCACGCGTTTGGGCAAGAAGCCAGCGTAGGCGGCGCTGGTCCTTCCTGCTACTAAGTTTGGGGGTCCAGGTCCAGAGGACTTGGGGCCCTTCCTTTTCCGGTTCCCCCGCCAACCTCTGGGTGGTCATCTCTGGACGACAGAGGCCTGGATCCTTTCATTCGAGGGCTGCACGGTGCTTGTCTCATCCTCCGGCTCCTTCCTCCTGTCCTGGCTGGACTTTTCTAAAAAGAACTTTCTCTGAGATGCAGTTCGCTCAGGTCGGGCAAGAGGGGTCCCCGACGCCTTCCCTTTCCTTAAATCGTTCAGAATGAAGGCAACAGCGGCGCCCTGGCCCTGGGCGCCGGCGGCCTCGGTGGAGGATGTAATATGTGCATTTCTTGTCTTCCAACCCCTCGCAGTCATTTATCCTTGTTGAGGCTGTTTTAAGTTTTCCAGGCATGGATTGCTTTTTACAGAAAAGTTCAAAATTATTTTTTAAAATAAAAATAGCCCTAACGAGTTTGGCTCAGTGGATAGAGCGTCGACCTGCAGACTGAAGGGTCCCGGGTTCCGTTCCCTGTCAGGGCACAGGCCCGGGTTGCATTGCGGGCTTGATCCCCAGTGGGGGGCGTGCAGGAGGCAGCCGATCCATGATGCTCTCATCATTGATGTTTCTCTCTCTCTTTCCCTCTCCCTTCCTCTCTGAAATCAATAAAAATATATTAAAAAAAAAAAAAAAAAAAAAAGGTTGAAACCCTACCAGGTCAGGGAGGCCTTCCAGGGGGTGGGGGGAGGGGAGACACAGCGACCTCAAACCTGTCCTGCAGGCTCCCGCCAGGTGGGGGGGGGGAGGGGGGAGGGGGGGGAGGGGGACCCGCGTCCGGGGCGGGGCCAGCTGTGGGCCGGGCGGTGGCGCCTTTGCGCGCGGGGCGGGGCCGGTGGCGCAGCAGCGGCGGCGGCGGGCACAGGCGGCGCGCGGTTCCCCAGCGCGCGGTCCCCCTGCGCGCCTACGCGGTCCCCGCCGGAGTCGCCGCGTCCCTCGGTGCGGGCCTCCCCCCTCCTCCCGACCCGCATCCCTCCGGCCCCGGGATGGGCGCGCGCGCCTCGGGCTGGCCCCGGGCCCGGGCCGGGCTGCTGCTCCTGCTGCCGCTGCTGCTCGCGCTGCTGGCTCCGGGCGCGCAGGGGGCGCGGGGCCGCGGCGGCGCCGAGAAGAACAGCCACCGCCGCACCGTCAACACCTTCTGGCAGAGCGTCACCAGCCTGGTCGGCGAGGACAACGTGCGCGCCGCTCAGAAGGTGGGCGCTGGGCCGGTGCCCGCAGTCACCTTCCCGGCCGCGCGCACCTGGCGCCTGGGCCGTGCGCGGCCTCCGGGGCGTGGGGAGACGGGCACCGGGGACGGGGGCGCCCGGGATGGGGGTGCTTAGCCTGCGCCCAACCTGCCCGGCCAGTGTCAGGGCTGGCGGCGCGTGTGTGTGAGCGCAGGGCCTCGGGGCTCCCTCTACTCTGCGCCCCACTTCTCCTTGGACCTTGCCCCCCAGGGCGCCGCGGCGGGCCGGGGCCTCCAGGCTGCGCTGACGCCGCCCGCGCCTCATTCATTCATTCTCCGCGTTTGAATGAGCACCTACTATGAGCCAGGCACCGCGCTGGCTGCCCAGGGGGCGCCCTGCCCGCCCGCGTCCGCTCCCCAGCGACCCCAGATTTCTTCTGGCCTCGCGCCCACTTCCTCTGGGGCCCTCCTCTGTCTGATTTGAAGATATTTATGCTTTTATTTTTTAAAAAACCCACAAAACTTTTACTTTACAAGAAAAGAAAGGGAGCGATGCGGGCTGTCCCGCTGCTGCGGCAACTGTAACCCTCCTGCGCGCCCGCTGTGCGGCGGGCCTCTCGCTGGGGGCGTTTGGTTCACCACTTCGGAGGGGTCCGAGGACCTGCACCCCCTTGGGAGGGTGTCGAGCGCGCAGGAGGCGGCCAGGGTGGCTCCCCGCTCCCTGCTGGGCCCTCGGAGCTGGGTGGTTCGGGCCGCCATTGGGGCAGAAGTTCACCAGCGACTCCCCAGAAGGAGGAAGTGGAGGGGACCCTGGCGCGTGGTGATGTGGTTACCTGAGCACAGCCTCGCGCTAGTTCTGGGCTTTGGGAATCCCGAGAAGTTTGGGTTCACGTTGGGGCTCCCCCACTTCCAGACCGGGGGACCTTTGGCTCAGTCCCTTTATCCTGTTCAGTGGGGCCAGTGTGTCCTTGTGAGTTGGTGACTGTGAGGGGCCGGTACTTTCCCTGCCCGGAGTCATGGCTGCGTTCCCATCGGCCACTGGTAGTTCTCTCCCCGCCAGGGCGCCCGCAGCGGTGCTGAGCTGGGCTGGGAGCACCTGCGGGGCTAAAGTGCCTGAGATGGAGGGGAGAGGGACATTAAAACCCAAATGCAGCAGGCTCATGTTTTACACATTATCGTTTTATTGATTTCTGAGAAAGGGGGAGAGAGAGAGAGAGAAACATCAGTGATGACAGAATCACGGATCTGCTGGCTGCCTCCTGCATGCCCCCCGCTGGGGATCGAGTTGCCACCTGGGCATGCGCCCTGACTGGGAATCAAACTATGACCTCCTGGTTCATGGGTTGATGCTCAACCACTGAGCCACGCCGTCTGGGCCAGGTTAATGTTTGAGAGGATGCTTTTGTGTGGCCTGAGAATGATGTTCTAAATGTCCACATGGCCCTTGGCAGAAAAAAGCCCCCCCCCCACCCCCCCGCCCAGGCTTAGGACAGTCCTAGGAGGTAGGTACTGTTACTGTGTCCGTTTTGCAGATGGCCAGATGGGGAACCTGAGGTTAGGGTGGTGAAGTGACTGGCTTTAGGCGAGGCCGAGTGGCAGGACCGGGACTTGAACCCAGGTCTCCTGCCCCATGACCCTTCCCGGTTTCTCCAATCTGGGACGCTTCTAGAATGTGGCTGACTCGACTTATTTTGATTTCCTGCTGAGTGGAGCGCGACGCCCCAGGCTCGGGCTGGCGGGAGACGGTGTGTTAACCTCCAGGAGAGGGACACGGGGTTGCATTTGGCTGCAGCTGGAGCGTCCGGGCGCCCGGGCTTCCTAATTCGAGCCAGAGCTGCATGGGCGGTTTGCGAAGTTTGCGGGTGGTTTTCTAATCGGGGACGCGTCTCAAGTAAACCCGTGACCTACTGGTTGGGTGCCGGGGCCGTGCTGACCCACAGACATGGCGTGGACCCCCAGCTCTGCTGCTCACCAGCTCCGCGACCTTGGGCCTGTCGCTTGACCTCTCTGGGTCTCATGTGTGCCCAGGAGATAAAGTGGGGTCCTGCCTGGAGGAGGGGGCACGCGTTGGGTCTGGGCAGGTGGCTTGGCAGGGAAGGGAAGTTCTGGGACAAGGTTGGCGGCAAGGTTCCCAGGCGGCTGCACGGAGAGGTCTGGATCTTGGGGAGCACGGGGGGGGGGGTGTGGGGGGGATCCAGCTGCACCTGTGTGGCAGGAACATGTGAATGTGGTGGGCACAGCGAAGCCAAGAGCTGGTGGTGTTTTTTCAGTTTATTCATGTTTTTATTTTTAAAGAGTCTATAGGTAGATAGCTCCACCCTCAGTGGTGTTCTGTTTGTCTTGCGTGTGTATGCTGTTCCCCACCTTCTTTTTCTTTTGTTTTCTCATCCTCACCCGAGGATATTTTCCCATTGATTTTTAGGGAGAGACTGAAAGAAACATGGATGTGAGAGAAACACATTGACTGGTTGCCTCCTGCACAGCCCCGGCCAGGGCCTGGGCTGGGGAGGAGCCTGCAGCCGAGGTACATGCCCTTGACTGGAATCGAACCCTGGCCCGTGGGTCCGCAGGCCGACGCTCTATCCAGTGAGCCACACTGGCCGGGGCTGTTTTTATTTTTAAAGAGATCCCGCCCCTTGCCGGTTTTTGGTTTGTTTTGCACTGTGCGCGCTGTTCTGCACCTTCCTTTTCCATTAAAATTTGGAGATCGGACCGTCTCAGTACCTGGAGCAAATTATTCTAAGGCTGCCCCATCGTTTCACCCCCCCGCCCCCAACGGTGGGTGCGTTATCAGCTTCCTGTCTTTGCCACTTAAGCAAGGCTACAGGAAAGGCCTTCATAGGTTTGTCGGGGTTTTTTTCTGGTTTTTTTGGGGGGAGTGTGTGTGTGCACTTAGACATTTTCATCTGTAAGTTGTTAGAAATAGAATTGCTGCCCAAAGGGCCTGCTCTGTGCATTTTTACATTTGTAATTGGATTATAATTGGTGCCCTTTCCTGCAGGGTAAGCACGTGAATTGTCCTCCTCCCCCCACCCCCCTACCCCCAAACCCCATGTGATAACCACTCCGCTGGCTTCTGACCACGTACAGTGGTTCTGCCTGCTGTGTCCTCTGTACGCAGTCTCTTTGCTGGTGGTGTTTTCTTGCTAAACAGTTCTCTTTTTTTTTTTACCTTCCCATTTTTAAAAATATGTTTTTGTTGCTTTTAGAGAAAAAGGAAGGAAAAGGGAGAGAGAGAGAAACATCGATGTGAGAGAGAAACATCGATCGGTTGCCTCTCGTACGCACCTTGACCGGGAATCCAACTGTGACCTCTTGGTTCATAGGTCGATGCTCAACCGCTGAGCCACCCTGGCCGGGCAGGCGAGCGTTTTAAATGCTAAGCCAGTTCCCGGGGAGGCGTTTACCGGCCCACCTGAGCCAAAGGGTCCCCTTGCCCGGAACAGCACACACTGGGGGCAGCCTAGGTGTCCGCCAGTAGGGCCTTGGTGAGCCTGCAGGTGTGCGTAACCGATTTAGAAACCACGAAGCAGCCTGGCCAGCGTGGCTCAGTGGTTGAGCGTCAGCCCATGAACCGGGAGGTCGCTGGTTCCATTCCCTGTCGGGGCTCCCAGGCTCGATCCCCAATGTGGGGTGTGCAGGAGGCAGCCCATCCACCTCCCGCTGATGTCTCTGTCTCTCCGGCTAGCCCTCACGCCAAAGGGTCCCGGGTTCGATTCCTGTCAGGGGCACAGGCGTGGGTTGCAGATTCCTTCCCTGCCCTGGCTGGTGTGCCTGCAGGAGCAACCTGTGGGTGTGTCTCTCTCATGTTGATGTCTCTCTCCCCCCCCCTCTCTCTCTCTCTCTCTCTCTCCTCTTCCCTCCCTTCCACTCTCTCTAAAAATCAATGGGAAAATGTCCTCAGGTGAAGACGAACAACAACAAACTCATAAAAAAGGGACATCAGGCCGGGGACAGCAGAGCCCTGGTGGCTCCCGCCTCCCGTGGGCCCCGTGGGGTGTGCAGGAGGGAGGTGGCACTCCATTTCGCTCAGTTCGTGGCCCACGACAGCCGGTCCCGGCTCGCCAGTCCTCTGGCCGCTGGTGGCCGTGGTGACCCCTGGCTCTGTTTCCCGCTGACGGCAAACGGTGAGCTCGCTGGGCCGGGATGATGGTGGCCGTGGCCGGGGTGGTAACCACCTTCTCTCGTGTCCGCAGCTGCTGACCAGGCTGACCGAGAAGTTCGTGCACGGCGTGGACGTGTTTCTGGAAACGCTGTGGAAGGTGTGGATAGAGCTCTTGGATGTCCTTGGCCTGGACGGTAGGTGTAGGGGGGGTGGGCGGTGTGCCCTCGAGGCGCCGTTCTGCCTCTTCTATTCCGGTGGGCCTCCCGGCGTGACTGGTCCCCTCCGTGGGCGGATGGGGCGCACCTTGCGGGGTTGGGGGGGGGTGGGGGGCAGTGAGGATGGGGATGAGCACCGGCTGTGATAGCAGCTTCCGCAGACGGTCCCTCGGAGCCGAGGTTCCGTTGCCATTTAGGATAAGGTGCCCGGGAGGGGCCGTGCCTGCGTGTCTGCCCCGGGCCCGCTGCGCGGAGCAGGCGTGGGTTCTCTGGGGTCCGCATCAAACTGCTCCCGCCCAGGGCCTTCCGGTCAAGGGCACGGACCTCGGTTGCAGGCTCCTCCCTGGCCCGGGCCCTCCATTGAGCTTCTCTCTGCCGTTCCCTCTCCCACTCTCCCTACAAACCAATGGAAAACATCCTCGGGTGAGGATTGAAACACAACAAAAAGAACTGCTCCGGTCTCTCAGTCAGAAGGGGTTTAATCCAGAGAGCGGGCGCTCGCGGAGTCACCGGTGACGTGACGCTGACCCGCACACGGCCCCCCGGTTCTGCCCTGGGAACCGGGAAGCTGCACACGCCGGGGCCAGGCCGCCGCCTCTGTGTGGGGGTCCGGGACCGCCCAAGACTCGCAGGACCAGCTCGGCGTCGTGGCCTCGGCCGCGGCGGATGCGGGCAGAAGGACGTGACCCAGGTCAGCCAGGGGGACAGTGCGTGAGACGAAGTCCCGAGGAGACCGGCCCTGGCGTCCAGCTCCCAGAGCCTCTCCCGGGGGAGGCACACGGGACACGCTCAGGTCCCCGGCACGGAGCTGGGACGACATGTGTGCAGCGTGGCGTCTGTCCGGAAAACCCCTTGGAGACCCAGCGCCCGGGGTGTTTGTGGGGGCCGGTCACCTAGGCACCCTCTGCCTGGCAGGCACCCAAGTCCCAGTCTCCCCGAAGGAAAGCTGGGTGTCAGCGTAAACCAGCGGGTTTGTGCAAACAGTCCAGGCCCGGGAGAAAGGAGGGACCCCTTTTTCCAGTCCCGCACCCCCAAGCGATGACCTCGATTCCCCCCAACGCTGACCGGTGCCCCACATGTTTAGCTCAGTTCTGACACCACCTGCCTGGAGGCAGCCTCGGATCCCACAGGTCAAGGGCTCAGTCCCACGAGACTTCCGGGGGCACTTGGATGTGACGCGGTTCTCCTGGGGCTGTGAGCTCCCGGGGGGGGGGGGGGGATGGGGTTCAGCGTCCGCCTCCCTTCTGGTCTCGGCCTCCACACCTTCCGGGAGTCCCCGTAGGTGTCTCCTGCAGGCGTGATCGCCCAGCCCTTTGCCTGCTTGGTCTTTTCCATCTTTGGGTCTCTGGTGTGTGACACTTCCTCCAGGGAGTCCATCCTGATTACCCCATGTAAAGGGACATTGTCTGTTCTCACACCACCCCTTCTTTCTCTTTAAGGCATTTGTCTGCTGTAACCTCCTGTGTGTGTGTGGGGGGGGGTTACCCCTCTGGAATCTCAGCTTCTGTGAGGGGGGTCTTGCCCATCTCCTCCAGGCCGTACACCTGCCCCCAACTCTGCCCCAGCACTAAGGGGCCCAGTGCTAATAAGTGTTGGAGCCCGACCGGCCTGGCTCAGTGGTTGAGGGTCGACCTATGAACCAGGAGGTCACGGTTAGATTCTCGGTCAGGGCACAGGCCCGGGTTGCGGGCTCGATCCCCAGTGTGGGGCTTGCAAGAGGCAGCCGATCCATGATTCTCTCTCATCACTGATGTTTCTATCTCTTTCCCTTCTCTCTCTCCCTTCATCTGTCTCTAAAAAAAGAAAAAAAATAATAATAAAAAAACATATTTCAAAAAATATAAAAATAGAGCTGCCATCGCCCAGCGATCCCACTTCTGGGAATATAGCTCATGGAAATGAAAAAACTTCGTATAAGAGACACCTGCTCCCCCACGCCCATAGCAGGATTCTCTTCCGTAGCCGAGACAGGAAAACAGCCTAGGTGTTTGGTGAACGGATGAGCAGGTGCGGCACTCATGCAACCGAGTGTTATCCGGCCACAGAAGCGAAGGCAGTTCTGCCGTTGTTGACAAAATGGATGGACCCTGAGGGGATGATGCTGAGATGAGCCCGACGGGGAAAGACAAATACGCTGTGGTCGCCCTTATACATGGCCTCTAACAGCAACCCACGCCCGTGGGAAAGGAGATCAGATCGCTGGTGGCCGGAGGCAGGTGGGGAGAAGGGGAGTTGGATGGAGGTGGTCAAAAGGTGCCCATTCCAGCTCTAGATAAACACGTGCAAGGGACGTCGTGTTCGACATGATGGCTGTCGCAATCACTGCTGGCGGGCACTTGGGGGAGTAGTTAAGAGAGCGCTAGCCCGGCCGGCGTGGCTCCGTGGTTGAGCGACGACTTACGAACCAGGAGGTCACGGTTGGATTCCTGATCAGGGCACAGGCCCGGGTTGCGGGCTTGTTCCGTATGAGGGCGCGTGCAGGAGGCAGCCGATCTGTGATTCTCTCTCATCATTGATGTTTCTATCTCTTTCTCCCTCTCCAGTCCTCTCTGAAATCATAAAAAAATCCTATATCATAAAAGGGCAGTATGCAAATTGACCCTAATGGGAACGGCTGGTGTCTATGAGGTGCACTGACCACCAGGGGGCAGACGCTCAACACAGCTAGAGCCAGCTCATGGCTGGACAGCGCAGCGGCGGTGGCGGGAGCCTCTCCCACGCCCTACAGCAGCAGGGCCACGGATATCTGACTAACCATAGGGAGCGGGCCTAAGCCGTCAGTCGGACATCCCCTGAGGGGTCGAGAGGGCTCAGGCCGGGCTGAGGGACCCCACCTCCCCCAGTGCATGAATTTTTGTGCACCGGGCCTCTAGTATATTAAGAAGAGAGAGACCTACGACACAAAATGTATTTCCTTTTTTGTATCCATCTGAGATGATGGACGTGCACGAAACTTACCGTGGTGCTCATGTCACCGTATATGTAGGTCGTGATGACGTGCACCTTCAGTTTTTTGTGTTTTTCTTTAAATATATTTTATTGATTTTTTACAGAGAGGAAGGGAGAGGGATAGAGAGTTAGAAACATTGATGAGAGAGAAACATGGATCAGCTGCCTCCTGCACACCCCCTACTGGGGATGTGCCCGCAACCAAAGTACATGCCCTTGGCTGGAATCGAACCTGGGACCTTTGAGTCTGTAGGCTGACGCGCTATCCACTGAGCCACACCGGTCGGGGCTGCACCTTCAGTTTGCAGTGTTGATGCCATGCCTGTCTCAGTAAGAGGAGAGGCGGGAGGGGCATGCTGAGGTATGACTCGTGCATGTTTCCATGGTTCGGTAAAAACCTGTACGTGGCTGGCGCGAGGGAGCAGGGTACGGCCGAGCGGGAGCATCGCGAGCCGGTGTCGGCAGACGCGTTTCCCTCGCCGCTCTCTTCGCCTTTCTGTTTGAAAATGCCCCTGAGTCGGGCACGCAGAGGATGAGCTGCCGCGTTTCCTCCACGCGTGCGAGGGGCCTCCGTGTGGGGGTGCCAGTCACGGGTAGGCTTGGCTGCGAGTCAGGAGCCCCCACACAGCAGCAGCCGAAATGAGTCGGAAGCTGACTTCTCTTGTGGGAAAGGTCGCAGGTAGGTGGGGAGGCAGCGCCAGGTCCTCGGGACCCAGCCCCTTCCGTCTTTTTGCTCCCCAGTCGGTGACTTTTCTCCCTTCATGGCCCAAGACAGCTGCTCCCAGTCCTACTATCGCATCCAATGCCCAGCAGGCAGAAGAGCCAGAGGTAAAGGGCACATTGCTGCTACTTTTAGGAGAAAAACACACGCACACACACACACACACACACACACACGCCCTTTGGTCGTGTAGCTCTAAGGGGGAGCCTGGGAAATGCCTTCGTCCTAGGCAGCCGTGTGTCCAGCCTGCAGCCGGGCATTTGCTGCTGCGAGAGACGAGACGGGCCCTGGCCGGTGTGGCTCAGTGGATAGAGTGTCGGCCTGCGGACCCAAGGGTCCCGGGTTCGATTCCGGTCAAGGGCACGTACCTGGGTTGCAGGCTCCTCCCCGGCTCAGGCCCTGGTCGGGGCACATGCAGGAGGCAACCTATCGATGTGCTTCCCTCTCACATCCATGTTTCTCTCTGTCTCTCCCTCTCTCTCCCACTCTCTCTAAAATCAATGGAAAAACATCCTCACGTGAGGATGAACAACAAAAAAACAGACGAGGAGGGAGGACCCTGAGGGCCAGTGTGCCGGCCCCGCCCTGCTGTGACAGGCGTGTTGAACCCAGGGAAGGGCAGGCCCTCTCCCCCCAGAGGAGGTTCCTGAGGCAGCTTCGTGCCCCGGGCTGTGGCCGAGGCCCGGCAGGTGCGCTGAGCTGCCCCCGCCTAGCCCGTCCCCGAAACGCCCGCCTCCGACACCCGGTAACCGGCCGCTGCCCCCTTCTCGCTCTGTCCCGCAGTCTCCAACATGTCGCAGTACCTGAGCCCCGCCTCGGTGGCCAGCAGCCCCGCCCGCGCCCTGGTCCTGGTCGGCCTCCTGATGCTGGCCTACTGGTTCCTGTCGCTGACCTTGGGCTTCACCTTCAGCGTCCTGCACCTGCTGTTCGGCCGCTTCTTCTGGATGGTGCGCGTGGTGCTGTTCTCCATGGCCTGCGTGTACATCCTGCACAAGTACGAGGGCGAGCCCGAGGGCGCCGCGCTGCCGCTGTGCTTCGTGGTGGCCGTCTACTTCATGACGGGGCCCATGGGCGCCTGCTGGCGCGGCCCCCCCGGCGGCCCTGGCCTGGAGGAGAGGCTGGAGCAGCTGGACTCCCAGGTGCGGATGCTCAACGTCCGCCTCAACCGCGTGCTCGAGAGCCTGGACGGCGGCCCCGCCAGCAAGTGACAACCAGCCGCCCGGCCGGGGCCCGCGGCGCCCGCGCCCTCGCTCCGCAGGCAGCAGAGGAGGAGGAAGAGGAGGCCAGCCAACCCCAAACTGTCTCAATAAAGGTGCCTGAGCCCGCGGGGGGCGCTCTGTGAGGGTGTTTTGGGCCGCGGGCAGACTCTCGGGGTGCCTGCCGGGGTGGTCCGCGGGACAGAGAGGTATTTTTTAAACAGAGGACGGACCCTGTCAGCTGTACAGTCACAGACGTGTGTCCCCGTAGAGCTACCCGTGGATCTCCCCCCTCCCCCCCCAAGCCCTTAGAGAACATCTTTTGTAAGGTGGTTGTTTTTTTTTAAAAAAAATAAAGGCAGATGCGAGTCCCGTTCCTTAACACTTGACGTGGAGGGGGCAGAACGTGCTCATTCGACGTGTCAGGAAAGGGACGGACGCGGGGGTTCCCCGGGCGGCAGCTCACGTTCCTGGGAGTTGAGCTCCGGCCAACACTGTTTTGGGTGGATGTTGACCGAATCGATCCACGTTGTCGCCTCTGAATGTGGACGGTTGGGCTCGAGGCTAGGACACGGACACGTCTCCTGGGTCCTAGGGGCCCAGCCACGCCCCCAGCAACGCTGTGTCTAAGGGAGGAACTCGTTCTCTGAGGAAAACCTGAGTATTTCCCCCACTTCTGTACTTGGATATATTTTAGGCTCCACATTTTGGAAAGGGAAAAAATCCAGGAGTTTTGGGGTCGGATGCCAGGAGCGCCCGGGCAGGCGGCCGGACTCGCTCCAAACCTCTTGGAAGCCGGTCTCGCCGTGTGCCAGCGGGGCCTTCGTGGGAAAGATACGCTCTCGAGGGTTCCCGGTTTGTTTGTTGCTTTTAAAAAAAATATATATGTTATTGAGTTTTTACAGAGAGGAAGGGAGAGGGACAGAGAGCCAGAAACATCGACAAGAGAGAAACATCGATCAGCTGCCTCCTGCACACCCCCCACTGGGGATGTGCCCGCAACCAAGGCACATGCCCTTGACCGGAATCGAACCCCGGACCCCCCAGTCCGCAGGCCGACGCTCTATCCACTGAGCCAAACCGGTCAGGGCTGTTTGTTGCATGTTTAGTGTTTAATTCTCACCGGAGGATATTTTTCCGTTGATTTTTGGAGAGCGTGGGAGAGAGAGGAGAGGGGGAGACAGAGAGAAAAGAAACATCGATATGAGAGAGACACACCGATGGGTTGCCTCCTGCACGCGCCCTGACCAGGACCCAGGCAGAAACCTGGCTTCTGTTTGGGCATATTCTTAACCCCAGAGAGTGTGGGAATTTTTTTCTTTCTTTCTCCATTCCATGGAAGCTGGTAGGCTATTTGGCCTCCCGTCCCCCCCTGCCCCCCGCCGCCCCCACCCCCATCTCTTTCTTTGTCCTCTCTTTTGTATGTGGGAAAATGTATTTTTGTACCATATCTCATCCCTGGAAGAGAAACCTTTTTCTATCTCCAGGGCTGTGGACGATGTCAGTGTAACGCTTCGTTAGGTGTGACAGGAACACATCCTGGTGAGAACTGCCGGGCGCCGTTGTAAGCGAGGCTCAGTGTTGTCGGGTCTCCGTCAGTGTTAACTTCCCGGGACTCCAGGAAATAGCAAGAACAGAAAATAGTCCAGAAAAGAAAAAAAAGAAAAGGACCACCTCCCTGTCCGCGGCGGGGTTTCTGTGGCTGCTTTGGGACCATGTTTAGAGCGACCTGGTGCCTGATGCGCTGGAAGCGACGCGTTGGGTGGGAGCCTTCCCGGCGTCTGTGTTCTCATCCCCGCTCTCGTCAGTGCTGCTGCCTCTCGCCGCCGCCTGGGCGTCTAGGGCCCCAGGATTCCCGACACAGTTGCAGCGACAGGACCGCTTGAGCGTTTGCCCTGTGGCTTGTGCTGGGGTCTTCGTATTTTTTATTTTTTAATATATTTTTATTGACTTCAGAGGGGAAGGGAGAGGAAGAAAGAGAGAGAAACATCAATGATGAGAGCGAATCATGGATTGGCTGCCTTCTGCATGCCCCCTACTGGGGATCGAACCTGCAACCTGGGCATATGCCCTTGACTGGAATCAAACCCGGGACCTTCAGTCCGCAGGCCAATGCTCTATCCACTGAGCCAACCGGCTAGGGCATCTTCATATTTTTTTAAAAAAATAAGTTCTTATTGATTTTTAGAAAGAGGAAGGGAGAGGGAGAGAGAAACAATGATCGGCTGCCTCCTGCACGCCTCCTACTGGGGATCGAGGCTGCAACCTGGGCATGTGCCCTGACCGGGAACTTTTATTTTTATTTTTTAATATATTTTATTGACTTCTTACAGTAGAGGAAGGGAGAGGGATAGAGAGTCAGAAACATCGATGAGCGAGAAACATCGATCAGCTGCCTCCTGCACACTCCCCAATGGGGATGTGCCCGCAACCAAGGTACATGCCCTTGACCGGAATCGAACCCGGGACCCTTGAATCCGCAGGCCGAGGCTCCATCCACTGAGCCAAACCGGCCAGGGCGAACCTGGCAACCTTTTGGTGCACATGAGGACGCCCAACCAACTGAGCCACCCCGGCCAGGGCCTGTGCGGGGTCTTCGTTTATAAAGGCGGCTGCCTGAGGACACGTAGAGGTTAATACCATTAAAAGGAGGTTTTTAATACTCAGGCGCCTGAACGTGAGCCGAGCCACGCCGGCAGGGCCACACGTAACCTGCCACACGCAGGGTAAGCAGAGACAGGCGAACTGGGGACCGACCGTGCCAGGTCAGGGTCGGGGGCTGCGAGGGTCGTGACTTTGCACGGCCACGAGGGCTGGCTCGTGGGGACCGCGGAAACCACTTGGGCCGTTAGTCTGTCTCTGATGCCGCGGTTCTGTACAGCGATTCAGGATGACACACCCAATAGCCAACACCAGCGCTAAAGATCCGAAATCGCTTCCTTCCCCTGCTTCCTGCTGCTTGAGACGCTTCGGATGAATGACATCTGCCTGGCGGTTGATGCCCGGGACCTTCCCCCCGGCCGGGTGTGGACTCACCCCAAACCCCAGCTCTCTGCCACCCGGCTTGCTCACGTTGCAAGGAATGCTTGAGCCCGGCCCGTGTGGCTCAGTGGTTGAGCAACCTATGAACCAAGAGGTCACTGGTTTGAGTACCGGTCAGGGCGCAGGTTGCTGGCTCCATCCCCAGTAGGGGGCTTGCAGGAGGCAGCCGATCCATGATTCATCATTGTTGTTTCCATTTACCCCTCTTTCTTCTCTGAAATCAATAAAAATATATTTAAAATAAAACACACACAGAAGAAATTCCTGAGGCCCTAAGGTGTCAACCTCCTCCTCCCCCCAACTTTATTTTTCTAACAAGAGATCACTGTTCTGCAAAGTTTTTGTTCTTGGCCATTTGAGTTGTTGGACTTCTGCGCCTCGCTTGTGAATAAGAGTTATATCTAGTTTGGCAGGGTCTGACGCAGGCCCCTTAAACGTGGTGTTAGGCGGCCGTCGGTACGACGCCCAGCACCTGGGCACATAGACGCTGGTCCGCGCACTGCCTTCCTCACTCTGCTCTCCAGCCAGCGATCCCTTGACCTGTGGCAGCCACGCCGGGGCCAGCATCGCCCTTGGGGCAGCACCCAAAGCGGATCGTCAATTGCATCTGAAACCTGGGGCGGCGAGTGGCGGCCGGGGCCATATGTTCCAGGGTCTTCTCGCAGGTTTAACGGTCTGAGTGTCCATTTAATTCCTGCTCGTGTGTGCCATCTCCGAGGTAATTCCGTTGATTTCTGGTGACGGCGACGGTGATGAGCGCTCCCTCCACATTCAGCAAAGCCATTTCTCTCTTCTTCGCCGGGAATCCCATTGGTGCCCCCTGTCCACAGTGCTTTCCTGATTCAATATTTTGTGTACCTGGTTATGAATTTGATAGAGCATTTAATTTGACATTTACTATAAAACACCTGATTTAAATATAGTGGTACGTGTATGTGTGTGCGTGCGTGTGTGTGTGTGTGTGTGCGTGTGTGTGTGTGTGTGTGTGTGTGTGATGTACACAGTTTTAGTGCCGTGAGCCTTGGGAAATTGACCCTACAGATATTGCATATAGACCTAAATGTATAAGGCTTGTTTGTATTTTTTTGGCAAAGCGATACATTCCTGTTTATTTATGAAAATAACTGGCTTCGGTGTCATGTAGAGATCTTTTTAGACTGATTTCAGAACAGAATTAAAATATTGTGAAAATGACAGCTTAATAAATGTTTTATTGTAATAACTGGCTGCTTGTACGACCTCCTAAATCTACTTCCTCCCTCCCGGCCAAGCCTACGTGGAGTTCTCCCAGTTTCGACATGTCATGGTGATGCTATGATTCTGTTCCCCATCTGATGAGAAGATCAGACCATCTTTCAGACTTTAATTTTGGTTAATCCTCACCTGAGATATTTCCCCCCGCCTCCCCTGTTGATTTTTAGAGAGAGAGGAAGACAGAGGGATAGAAACATTGATGACAGAAACATCCATCAGCTGCCTCCTGCATGTCCCTATTGGGGATCCAGCCCGCAACCCGGGCATGTGCCCTGCCCAGGAATCAAACCATGACCTCCTGGCTCATGGTGGAAGCTCAACCACAGAGGCTGGGCTGTCGTTAAATGCTAATTGGTAGCTATAACCCACAGAAGGAAGTGCTCCTGGGGTAGGTTAAAGGATACATAAAGGTCCCTGCCTTGGGCTGCTATATACAGAAATACCATGGACTGGGTGGCCCAAACAGCAAACAATTATTTGTTTATTTAAATATATTTTATTGATTTTTTACAGAGAGGAAGGGAAAGGGATAGAGAGTTAGAAACATCAATGAGAGAGGAACATCAATCAGCTGCCTCCTGCACACGCGCTCCTGGGGATGTGCCCGCAACCAAGGTACACGCCCTTGACCTGAATCGAACCCGGACCCTTCAGTCCGCAAGTCTACGCTCTATCCACTGAGCCACACCGGCCGGGGCCAGCGAACATTTGTTTATGGCGGTTCCGGGGGCTGGAAGTCCAAGGGCAAAGCAAGGTGCTGGGTATTTGGTGTCTGGGGAGGGGCCGCTTCCTGCTTCTCTGCTCTGTGACCCTTGATCCCTTGTCTCTTCCCACTGACTCCAGTAGCTGACGTTCACTTCCTCCCTCCGCACTTCGCGGGGTCCCCTCCGAGCCCCCCAGCGCCCTGGGTCCTCACCTACCTGGGGCCCCACGTGCATCCGAGTGCAGCAATGTTAGCATAACCGGGTCCCAAACGCAAGCCCCTCTTTCGGTCCCACGGGAGTTAAGCGCTGGGAAGCGGCGGACACCCGCACGTGGGGCGGGACTGACGCGCTCGGCGCCCATCGGGTTGCCAAGGTGACGGCGCGCGGCC